CTCCGAACAATTCCCTGCGCCCGAGGGTGCTGATAAATGGGGCTGATTGGCCGAGAAGCTCGCACAGGCCCAACGGCGCCACCCTCTTTTGGTGCAGCATTGGCACCTCTGTCCCCAGGCCTCGAGGTCAGCCCTAGGGATCACGCCTTGATTCTCTTCCCTGGCTCTCTGCCCGGGTCTCCACTGCTGGCTGTGGCTGGGAGACAGAGACGGGTTCCCCCGCTCCTATTTCCAGTTCTCCCTGAGAGTTTCACCAGAGGGCCCCTGCAAATGACGCTTAGAAACAATAGTGTCCCAATTCTTATCTCCCAGTGATAGCCCGCTCCCTGCCAAACTGAAGAGAGTTCATTGGTACGTTACTGAAATTCACCAGAACCCACAGGGTCTCATAATTTTGCCCTACCCCCTTGTCTATCTTGTCCCCTACTAGGGCTAGAGAGCGTCCTTCAAGGTTTGGTGCTAATTAATCCACATCCCCAAGGCAGATTCCCCAAACCTCCAAGAGGTGACCTGTGCAAGTGCAAGGGAGTGACCCTGTGGAATAATTTGCTAGAGTATGACAGGTATCATGACGTACACCTGTTATCCTAGCACAGGGGAGGTGGAGTAAAAAGATCAGGAGTTCAAGAACAGCCTGGGCTATTTAGGGAATTCAAAGCCAGCCTGGGCTATATGAGACTGACTGTCTCAAAATACCAAATCAGTTGAATATGAGTACATGCCTGTAATCCTGGTACTAGGAAGGTAGAGCCTAGAAAATCACCAAACCTGTCTGAAAAAGAAAAGCAATGCCAGGCAGTGATGGTTCACACCTTTAATCCTAGATGGTGAGGAGAGGGGGGCGGCGACAGGCAGATCTCTGAGTTCATAGCCAGTGTGGTCTACATATCAAGTTCAGGACAGTCAAAGCTACACAGGGAAACCCGTCTTAAAAAAAAAAAAAAAAAAAAAAAAAAAAGAAGGAAAAAGAGAATTCAAACTTCAATGAGGCTGGAGAGATGGCTCAGTGGTTAAGAGCACTGACTGCTCTTCCAGAGGACCTGGGTTCAATTCCCAGCACCCATATGGTGGTTCACAGCCATCTGTAACTCTAGTTTCAGGGAATTAAACACCTTCTGCAGGTACCAGGTGCTCATGTGTATGCACATGTTGCATAGACACAGAAGAGCTGTCTCTTAAAGAAACAACAACAACTCTGGGCAGTAGTGTGCTTGCCTTTAATCCCAGCACTTGGGAGGCAGAGGCAAGTGGATCTCTGTGACTTCAAGCCAGCTTGGTCTACAGAGCAAGTTGCAGGACAGCTAGGACTGTTAACCCTATCTCAAAAAAAATATTTTTTAAGAAGAAAGAATAACAACAAAACAAAGCACAACAAAGAACAGTGGTTCACCCAGGTATCTTCTGAACACTATTGAAATGAGCAAGGTAACGCCATTCTGTCTCTACTTTATTTAGTTTGTGTTTGCCCGTCTACTTCTCAGTCCTATTTCCCCAACAACCATATCTGCCTTGGCCACACATTTGAGATGTCCCTGGCCTCAACCATGGTCCAGTTATATTAACCAAAATGTTTAAAGTAAACTAAAATAACTAAAGGCAATATAAGTAGAAGTTGTGAGTCGCGAACGGTGGTGGTGGTGCATGCATGCTTTTAGTCCCAACACTAGGGAGATAGAAGCAGGGGAATCTAAATGAGTTTGAGGCCAGTTCAGTCTACAAAGCAAGTTCCAGGGCAGCCAGGGCTACACAGAGAAGCTGTCTCAAAAACAAAACAAAAAATTGTCATGTTATGTTTGAAATAATTACTATGCTCTGCCAATAGATGTTTCAAGGTTACTATGACCCTCATCTAATTTTGATGTAAATTATAGTCTTTGTGGGTTTTGCCTTTTAAAACTTTGTACCCCTGGGCTTGGACACCAAGAGGTTTCAGAGACACATGCCTGCTCTTGATCTAACATCAATAAAAACTTTAAAACTTTTTTTTCTCTTTCAAGACAGGGTTTCTCTCTGTATCCTTGACTGTCCTGGAACTCACTATGTAGACCAGACTGGCATTGAACTAACAGAGATCCGCCTGCCCCTGCCTCCTGAGTACTGGAATTAAAGACATGTACCACCACCACCCAGCCCAAAAACTTAAAACTTTTAATATCTTAATATGGTTGTCGGCCAAGTGGTGGTAGCACATGTCTTTAATCCCAGCACTTAGGAGGCAGGGGCAGGCAGATCTCTGTGAGTTCGAGGCCAGCCTGGTCTACAGAGCGAGTGCCAGAACAGGCTCCAAAGCTACAGAGAAATCGTGTCTTAAAAAAAAAAATGGTTGTCAAGGTTGTCAATAACTCTCATGTATTGATACATGCCCCGCCCCCTTTTTTTTTCTGGTCCTAAGGTTGGACTACAAGACCTTATTAAGCATGCTAGGCAAATGCTCTACCGCTGAACTCCACATGCACACAGCCTCACACGTTGTCTTTAAGAATATTATTTTTCTTGTGTGTATGGATGTTGTCTGTTTGTATGTATGTGCGTTACGTGCCTGTGGAGGTCAGGTTCCTCTAAACTAAAACTAAAATTACAGATAGTTTTGAGTTGCCATCTGGGCACTGAGAAATGAGCCTAGGCCCTTTGAAAGAGCAGACATGCCACTGTGCTTAACTGCTAAGCATCTTTCCAGCCCATGTATCGTTTTTTGTTGTTGTTGTTGTTGCTTTCATTCATTCCCACTTCTCAGATCAACCTGGACTTTTTCCCAAAATAAAACTGCTTGTCTTTGACTTTCTACACATCTCTGCTCCTTCCTTCACGTCTCTTACTTTCCAAAGGATCAAGTGCAAACTAAGGAAAACTTGGACCTCTCAAACTACAGAACGGTGGGTGTCTGTTTGAAATACAAAAATTCTGTTTGTATGGCTTTAGCATTGTCTTGTCAATTTTATGATCTTACTCTGAAAAAATAAAGTGATTAAACAGAAAATATAGCTTTACTCACAAAAACATATAGTTCTTATGCTTTATAATTCTAAGTAATACTAGTGTCTCTGGCCAGGTGGTGGTGGTGCACACCTTTAATCCCAAGCACTCATGAAGCAGAGGCAGATGATCTCTCTGAGTTTGAGGCCAGCCTGGTCTACAAAGTGAGTTCTTGGACAGACCAGGCTACACAAAGAAACACTGTATCAATAAACCAAAAAAAAAAAAAAAGAGGAAAGAAAGAAAAAAGAAAAAGAAAAAAGAAAAAAAAAAGAAAAGAAGGAAGGGAGGAAGAAAGGAAGAAAGAAAAAAAGACTGGCCTGTATGGGTTGGAGAGATGACTCAGAAATTAAGAGCAGCACTTGCTGTACTTGTTGAGCTTGCTACGCTTGCAGCGCTAGCAGAGGACCCTGGTTCGGTTCCCAGCACTTACATGGCTCCTAAAAACTGTCTATAACTTTAGTACCTGCCTGTAACTTGTAACTCCAGTACTAGGTGATCTAATGTCCTCTTCTGACTTCCAGAGGCACCAGTAATGCACAATGCACATAGTAATGTATTCAGGTAAACATCCATACAAATATAATACATTAATCTATTTTCAATAATTAGAACTTTGCAAACATGAGGACCTCAATTTGAGTCTGAAGCATTTATGTCAAAAGCCAGGCATGGCTGCCAATGCTTGTAACCCTAGCATAGGGAGCAGAGACAAATAAATCCTGTATGTGTGTACATTCACATGCTTGCATCACACATATACACACATGCATGTTCAGACTCCCAAGTAAAACTGGTCTATAAAATTCACAATTCAAGATGTCTGTGGCTATTTGGGGTCAGAGGATTAAGGAAGAATCTGCAGAGATTAGCTGTCACAGATCTACCTTGACATTCTCTATGCTGAAACATTTTTTTCCTTGGGGGATGAGACAGAGTGTTTGTGGGTGGTAAAGGTGGTTTCAAATCTTCCTACCTCAAACTTCTAGTGCTGGGTTTACAGGGCTATGCCACCATACTCAGGTAGTTTCTCAGTTTAGGTTTGAGTGAAGCAAATGCACTAATACTAGGCATTTGAAATACAGTGACATATATTTTACATAGCAGAAATACTTATTTAATAAAATATCAAATTTCTTCCTTACAACTGACTTAAAAGAATTATTCTTGTTCAGAGATTTAATAACCCACCATAGATTATGTAGCTGATGAGCCTACGAGAGGCCTTAGGATGTGTGCTCTATTACAAAGTCTATGGCAATTTTACAATCCCGTAGGGGCAAGATACAGGAGCAAAGGAGAGGCCCAGAAAAGGAACAGCCGGGGTTAGGCAGTCTCCCTAGCAAGTGAGGCAGGCAACCCACGCCTTCTCGGATACAGACTCACAGAGTCAATTTAGAAAACCAAGATGCTTTCTGACGTCCACTGTGACAGTAGGCGAGGTCCGGGTAGTGGCCACTTGAGTTCCCTAAAGCCTTCATCACTGCATCACTAACACGGGTGCTCTGACGTGCTGCAGGCTGACGTTGGTGTCGGGAGTGACAGATGCCCCGGCAGCTAGTGGCGGAGCGGGAGGTTCTCGTTGCTGACCAAATCTCTGTGGACAAGCACAACCCCTAGGGTCGTCCCCGCGGGCGGGCCATCAACGATCTGCGGGTACTGGGAACAGCTGGTCCAGCCCGGGACGTGGGTCCCTAGGGTGGAGGGCGGGAACTAATCAGGGCGGACTACAATTCCCACAATGCTCCCGGGCCGCAGCCGCGGGGAAGGAGAGGGACCTCAGGTGTCTGCGACCTCGGTGCCTCCGGCCCGGAAGTGCCCGAGGGGCCGAGATGGAGCTGGTGGAGTTGGGCGGTGAGTCGCCGCGTGTGACCGCGCCCACCCTGTCGCCCCAGGCCACAGCTGGGCTTTGCACGCCCCGCCCCGAGATCTCTGGTGCCCTCCTGCTGCTGGGTGGGGGGGAGGGAGGCGGGCAGATGGAAGGAGTGATGGAGCAGTGGGGGTGGGGAGAGCTAAGTCTAGGTTCTCCGGAAGGATCAAGGGCCTGGAGACCTCTGGGTTTGGCAAGGTTGCCCCCACTGGCGCTGAATAGGGCTAATGTGGGGTGGGGTTTGGGTGGACCCAAAAAGGGGCCGAGCTGGGTAGGCAACTGCGCTCCCTAAGCTCCAGATTGGCCAAGGGCGGAGTTTGACGTTTAGCGTTGTCTGGAAGCTTTGGGAAGCTCTGTGTGTTGTGGGTGGGTTTTGGATAGATGGTAAAGGGAAGTGTTAGGGGCTATAGGAGCCCCTTCTGCCGAGAGGAGAAACTTAAGGGACAGGGCATCAGATGAGCTTTGCTGGGAATAGGTGAAGGAGTGAACTTTGGGATGAAGTGGACAAAAGTATAGGTAAGCTTTTGAGTAAAGTTTGATGGAGGCAAAATTTAGGAAGGGTCGCTTAGAAGAGCATGGCCGTTACTTGGATATAGGGTTTGGGTGAATTGGGAAGCTAAATGAAGTCCTAGAACTCAGACAGCAAAGTTAAGATTGGAATCTGGGGATGGAAAGGGACAAAACAAGAAGGCAAATTTGGGACTACAGGATGCTGGACCAGTCTGTATCCTGGGGTAGGTAAGAAGACAGAATAACTGGGACAGTGGGAGGGTTGTAGTACAGTGGTTTCAAGGGCTGGTTGAAGTCGGGATGACTCCTGGTCAGAAAGCAGCCTCTCATCAATCCCTGTGCTTCTTTAGCTCGGTAGCACCTCTGGCAACTCAGGTGCCATGGCCTTGATCGAAGGCGTAGGCGATGAGGTGACTGTCCTTTTTTCGGTGCTTGCATGCCTTCTGGTGCTGGCCCTTGCCTGGGTCTCAACACATACCACTGAGAATACAGACCCCCTGCCACAGCCGTCAGGGACCGCAACCCCAGCACAGGCCAGCGAAGCCATGGCAGCCACAGACAGCATCAGAGAGGAGGCCCCAGGGGCTGAAAGCCCCAGCCTGAGACACAGAGGTCCATCAGCACATCCAGAACCTGACACCGAGGTCACAGCAACAGCACCACCTCCTGACTCCCTGCAGGAACCCCTAGTGCTACGGTTGAAATTTCTCAATGACTCTGAGCAGGTGGCCAGGGCCTGGCCTCAGGACACCATCGGCTCCTTGAAAAGGTAAGCTGGGAAGAGGGTAAGAACAAAATCCTAAAAATGGGGTGAGTGACTACAGAAGGGCCACTAGAGATATTTGAAGCTCACCCTTATTTTCTGTTTGAGAAAACTGTCTCCTCGGGATACTTACACTCTATAGCTGTTAACCTGTTCAAACCTGCCCCCCAGAGGCCAGAATCTGGGTGGTTTGTAGAGTGCAGGGGTGAAGGTTGGGATCGGTCCTCAGAGCAAAGGACCAGGACTTCCTGAGACCTGCTCTCTTACCCAGGTCCCTCTCTCCTCAGGACCCAGTTTCCGGGCCGGGAACAGCAGGTTCGACTCATCTACCAAGGCCAACTGCTAGGAGACGACACCCAGACACTGGGCAGCCTCCACCTCCCCCCCAACTGCGTTCTTCACTGCCACGTGTCCACGAGAGTCGGTCCCCCACATCCCCCCTGCCCACCAGGGTCAGAGCCCGGCCCCTCCGGGCTGGAAATCGGCAGTCTTCTGCTGCCCCTGCTGCTTCTGCTGCTGCTCCTGCTTTGGTACTGCCAGATCCAGTACCGGCCCTTCTTTCCCCTGACAGCCACCCTGGGCCTGGCCGGCTTCACCCTGCTCCTCAGTCTCCTGGCCTTTGCCATGTATCGCCCGTAGTGCCTCCACGGGCTTTTGGCAGCGTTGCCAGCCCCTCTGGACCTCAGTCCCCAAGGCGCAAAGGGAGCTGCTGTCTGCCCAGGCCCACCTCACCCGCTGCCTGCCTTTTCCCACTCCCCTGGAGCCCAGCCTTGCGCCGCAGAGGACTCCAGGGCTTAGCGGAGGCTTCTCCCTGTGATCTTCATATCTCGGGGCCATCATCTGGGGCTGCTGGCCCTCAGCCTTCGCAGACAGTGGGTTCTTCTGGATCAGGCACTTGCTGTCGCTGCCTTGGCCCGGCGCAAAGCTGGGCCACCCCACTGGGCCCATCTTAGTGTGCTGCCAGAGGACCTAGGTACGTCTAGTTCCAAAGAGCTGCCGTGGCTGAGTTGGGGACCGATGGACTAGGAGACTGGTGAAGGGGAGTTGAGAGGAGCGGAGCTGTTTTCTGGAATTTGTGCAGATTAAAGAAACTGACGTTTTCATTCCCAGTGTGTCTGTGCGGGGCTTGAGGGTGGGGAGCCTTTGTTCTGAGAGAACGGAACCTGCGCTAGGTCCTATGTGCACAAGCTACCCAGGGCAGGACAGCGGACAGTCGCTTTCCGCATCATTCCTGCAGGTTTCAGGCCAGGCTCTGTGGCACCGCCTCCGCAGCCGCGCGCGCACTTCCCGGAAGCTGAGGGCGGGTCCCGCGGCTCCCATGCTCGCAGCGCCTGCCGGGAGCCACGTCTCCGCTGCCTGGCACTGAGCTGCAATTGGCGTCTGGGGGCGATCCGGGGGCTGCTGGGAAGATGGCGGACTCGGTGGCCCGCTGATGAGGAGGCCACGGGGGGAGCCCGACTCACGGGCCCCGAAACCAACTGAGAGAGTGACCTGCGCGGGGCCCGGGGAGTCATGTAGGGTGGCGTCTGCGGGGAGGGCCGCGGGAGGGTGGCGGGAGCTGGTGTTAGCGGCAGTGGCCACAGGCTGCTGGCCTCCCGGGGCCGGGACAGGGTGCGGGGGCCTCTCCCGCGGACAGCACCGACTCCGCGCCTTGGCAGACGGCGCACTGGGGCCCAGCGCGCGCCCTGCGAGTTTGCGCTGTGTTCTCATTTCACTGGTGAGGAGACTTAGGGCAAGAGGCGGAGACATTTGTCCAAGGTCACGCAGCTGGTAAGTGGGAGCGCCCAGCATGGGACCCAGCACCGTCCGGCTGCAGAGCTCGCGTTCCGCCCACCCCGTCGCCGCCGCCTCTAGCGAGAGGGGAGGTGGTCGGCCGGGCGCGTCGCCGGGACCACCGGGGCTCCAGGCTGGGTGTGACCACTAACCCTGTGAATGACCTCGGGCTTTAACCTCTTCGTCGCTCTGGGCCTTGTTTCTCCACCTGTGAAATGAGGTAATGCCAGCCCCGCGACTCCTCATCAGCGTGCACGGAGCATCGAAGGAGTTGTGTATGTGAAAATGTGTATAGAGCTGCACCGAGCACACTTAAGAATTAGCATTTCTTTTGAAAGGAACGGGGAAAGGGGGCATGGTGGGGAAGAGTTCCAGAGCAGTCCCTCTGGGTTAGTTTTACTTGAGGCCCTTTGGGTGGGGAGTAAGGTAAGGACTAGATAGTATATTTCCCCTAGGAGGAAACCTCACCCGGTTTTCTGGGTCACCCCTCAGGGTCTCCATCACCCACCTCCATGCTTCGAATCCTGCTCTCTGCCCAGAATTCCCCTGCTCGGCTGTCTGGTCTGCTGCTCATCCCACAAGTACAGCCCTGTTGTTTGGGGCCCAGCAAGTCGGGGGACCGGCCTTTTGGAGGAGGCCCTGTGCAAGGCCTTCAAAGGCTTCTGGAACAGGCACGGAGCCCTGGGGAGTTGCTGCGATGGCTGAGCCAGAACCCCACCAAAGTTCGAGCTCATCATTACCCAGTGGCCCTTCGTCGTCTGGGACAGCTCTTGGTGTCTCAGCCTAGGCCCTCCCCTGTGGAGCAGGCCACACTGCAGGACTTGAGTCAGCTCATCATCCGAAACTGCCCCTCCTTTGACGTGCACACCATCCATGTGTGTCTACACCTTGCAGTCTTACTTGGTGAGGAGGGTGAGGAAGGTGTGGGTGTTTAGGGAAGAGTAGCGGAAGACAGAGCAGAGGACTCAAGCTATTGAGAACGCTCAGATTCCCACCTAGTAATGGCACCTTCCCAAGCACACATGCCGAGTCCTCTGGTGGATGATCCTCATGGTGGATGTCCAAGTCAAACAACATTCTGCCTCAGCTGGATACTAGGTTCCTTCTAACACAGTGCTCTAGGAAGCCACAGCACTTTCTTAGACTTGGCACAAGGTGACTTGTCTAAGGCTTTCCCCGCACACTGTTGATACATCATGCTCACGTGACCACCTCTCTCCACTGAAATAAGTACACCTTCCCACTCAAGAAATGAAGAAGAGGAAGTTGGGGACTCATTCGTTCCACTTGGCAAGATAGCACACCGCAGCTTTCTTACTAGGATCGTCTTTGTCCCTCTCCCTCCCAGGCTTTCCATCAGATGGACCGCTCTTGAGTGCCCTGGAGCAGGAGCGAAGGTCCCGCCTCCTTCCAAAACCACCCTCCCCACATCAGCCTGCCATCCATGGTGGGCAAAGGTTGGAAATGGCCCTGAGCTGTCCCCATTTCCTGCGGTACCCTCGTCAGCATCTGATCAGAAGCCTGGCAGGTGCCGAGGGTTAAAAGCAAAAGGGAGGCAAGGGATGAGATGGAGCCACTGGGATAAAGTGCCTGGGCTGGAGCACAGTCTAGCCCCCAGCAGCCTTCCTTGAAGGCACAGTATGACAGGCTGTTCTTCACAGAGGCAAGGCCAGAAGAACTGACTCCCCATGTAATGGTGCTTCTGGCTCAGCACCTGGCCCGGCACCGGTTGCGGGAACCCCAGCTTCTGGAAGCCATTGCTCACTTCCTGGTAGTTGAGGAAGCCCAGCTCAACAGCAAGGTGGGCTGGCCTACCACCCTCCCATGCTTCTCTGAGTCATCCTCAGCTGCTTGGCCGGGCCCAGCCCCCATCCAGCTTGTCTGGTTTCTGTAGCAAGCATTCTACCCAGGCTGTGTTCTGTGCCCAGGACATCTGTCTCTGTTTACTGGTTGTCCAGTTCCCATAGTCAGTATAGTAGTATGTCTGGAGCCCTGAAACTTTCCAAAGCTCCTGCACAGCAGCCTAGCTCCATAGGATCCACTCCTACAGATAGATCTACAGGCCATACACTCCACCGCCCCCAGTTAAGTCCCTTCTGTGAAGATACTGCTTGTGTTGCAGAACTTGGAGTGTGTGCTGGTATAGAGAGCATTCTGCCTTGAAAATTACTGACAGAACGAGGCCTCCCTGAGGTGCCTATCAAACATGCCAGGGAACTTGGCATGTGCCTTTATCCTGGCAGAGGCAGAGAAAGGTGGATCCCTGAGTTTGAGGCCAGCCTGATCTGCATAGGGAGTTCCAAATTAGCCTGAGACAAAGAAGACCCTGAAAGAAAGCAAAGCAGTGTTTGCTGCTGGATGCTGCTGCCTTTTTCTGCAGGTGGTACAGAAGCTGGTCCTGCCCTTTGGGAGGTTGAACTACCTGCCTCTGAAGCAGCAGTTCATGCCCTGTCTTGAGAGGATCCTGGCTCGGGAAGCAGGGGTGGCACCCTTGGCCACAGTCAACATTTTGATGTCACTGTGCCAGCTACAGTGCTTGCCTTTCAGAGCCCTGCAGATTGTCTTCTCCCCCAGTTTCATCAACCACATCAATGGTATGCAGACGGGATGGTTGGTGGGGCCAAGGGCTGCAGGGCAGGAGTGTGCCCAGGTGTCAGCGGCCCAGTGTCCCCCAGTCCCTGCTTCCCCACAGGCACCCCTCCTTCTCTGATTGTGCGACGCTACCTCTCTCTACTCGACACGGCCGTGGAGCTTGAACTCCCAGGGTACCAAGGCCCACGCCTTCCCCAAAGACAGCGAGTGCCCATCTTCCCACAGCCCCTCATCACTGACCGTGCCCGCTGCAAATACAGGTGGGCCAGAGGAGGGGCAGCCACAGGAGCACAGAGTGGGAAAGCCAGAGCCCATGTCTCCTAACAGAAGAATAGCCTTGAGGCAGCAAAGGGCCTTTGCCGGGTGGCAGTGCTCAGCAGGTACAGGGGCCTTCCCTCTACCACTGTCCTTTCTCCTCAGTCACAAGGACATAGTAGCTGAGGGGCTGCGCCAGCTGCTAGGGGAAGAAAAATACCGCCAGGACCTGACTGTGCCTCCAGGCTACTGCACAGGTGAGGTGTGGACGGACATGGGTGGCCAGCAGTCTAAAGCTGGCGCAAGGCTAAGGCCCGTCTGCCCTGCAGACTTCTTGCTCTGTGTTGGTAGTTCTGGTGCGGTGCTGCCAGTGAGGACACAAGACCCCTTCCTGCCCTACCCACCACGGTTCTGCCAACAGGACCAGGCTGGCTGTAACCCCACAACACGACACTCTACCCAAAGGTAAGGAAAATGAAATGGTTGGGGAGTCTTTGGCTACTGGGCCAACAGCAACCTGAGCCAAGTCCACTCTTCTTCAGGGTGGTGTTGATGCTGCGCGAACGCTGGCATTTCTGCCGGGATGGCAGGGTGCTTCTCGGCTCTCGTGCTCTGAGGGAGCGGCACCTGGGCCTTATGGGCTACCAACTTCTGCCGGTGAGAAGTCCTGTCCCACCCCACCTCTATGTGTATTGAGAGCCAAGCCACTGTAACCTGTCTTTTCTCTGCAGCTGCCATTTGAAGAATTGGAGTCTCAGAGAGGCCTGCCCCAGCTCAAGAGCTACCTGAGGCAGAAACTTCAGGCCTTAGGCCTCCGCTGGGGACCTGAGGGTGGGTGAGGGAGCACATACAGGGCTCAGGATGGAACCCTGTTGGGGAGGGGGCAATTTGCACTTTGGCTCCCTGTTGGCTTTTTCATTAAAATCCCTTTCCTTCCCCATGGTGAGTCTCATTTCTGGACCAAGGAACAGAGCTGGGCTGCATCTCTTTCTGTTCATAACCCCCACTAACAAAGACAGAAGACCAGGTCTAGGCTGGGGTTGAAGCGTTTTACTGCAGGGTCGGGAGAAGGGGGCTTTAAATTATTCACTTAAATAAAAATGTGGAGGGGTAGAAGGAGGGGAGCCCCAGCCCCCAACCCCTGTCCCCTACCCATTAGTCCCTCTGCTATGCTCTGGACAGCAGCTACACAGGCATGGGCATCTCGTTGTACTCATCCACACCTTCACGCTCATCAAACACTGGCTCTGCCTCATTAGCATCCAGCTGTGAAAGGAATGGAAATGTTGACCTTTATAGAACCATGGAAGAGAGGAGTGGAGGAGAGAGACAGGGGAAGGGGTGCTTACACATTTCATTTCTCGCTCGGTGAAGATGCGGGTAAGTACCACCATGCGCAGTGGCACTGTGAGGATGAGGATGAAGGGAAAGGCCAGGGAGGCAGCTGTGGACATGACTGCCCAGAGCAGGGCCAGGCACAGCA